CTTTTTTATTATTTCAAAATGCAATAAAAGATAGAATAAAAGATGAAATAATTAAAAATAATCCAAATAAAAGCATAGGATTTGACAAATCAATCAATAATGAAGAAATTGAATATTCTCAACATGTTTATAACTTAATTGCTAAAAGCAAACCTCATTATGAGTACTTGTTTCAACACAGAATTAAGATTTAGCACATTCTTATATGAAAATTCATATACGGTGTGACATGCATGTTTTCTAGAAATTTACTTAAAAATAAGAAAAGGATTATAATCAAAAATAGAACATACACTTTAAAATGATAAAGTTTCACAGAAAATAGTTTAGTTTACCATTTTATGAAGTTTCAATACGTAAATTTTTTTGCGTCGCATGATACTCATTGATTACTCTAAGATACTGTATTTATTATACTATTTTATTAAGTTTATCTATAATATAAACGGACAGAGCAAGCATTGTAAAGACAATATTGAATATTTAAAAAATAAAATAACTGATAGAAGTAGTTATATTCAAATAGGGATCAGGTTAGTGATCTCTGACAAAATGACGAAACCTGACGAAATCATTTCCTCAATTGACAAATACCTTATGTTTTTGTCAGGTTTCGTCATTTCGTCACTAGATCAGGTTAGTAAAAGACTTTAATAATTTAATTCCTCAGTTGATTTATTTAGTACTTTACAAATAAATAAGGATTTATTTACAAGTTTATGAATATAGTGCACAATGATGACTCTAGATAATTGATTGAAAAAGTACTGAAAGACTTTTAATTAATTTTTGTTTTCTTGTTTTATATTTGCATTTGAAGTTATTCGATTTAAATTGTATCCTTAGTTTTTTGAACTGTAACTTATATGGTGCTTTCTCAAACTCTGTTAGTGTTTTTCATTTATTCCCAGCGATTCTTGAAATTTTACGATTGTTTATGCTTTTATTTGGATTATTTTTAATTATTTCATCTTTTATTCTATCTTTTATTGCATTTTGAAATAATAAAAAAGAGTTTTGTAAACGTTTAATAGGATTCAAGATCAATGCTAGAACATGTATCTTTAATTCTGGAAATTCCTTAATTGTTTTTAATTTTTTCATAGAATCTTTATGAATAAGAATTGGTGAGTAACCTTGTGGGATAAAAACTGATATTCCATTATTACGTTTAATATGTGAAGAAACACCAAATTTTTTAATCGAAACAAAATGATTAGAATTCATTATAAATATAAGATTAATAGTTTCGAATGTGTTGTTAAAACTATATAATC